TTATTGGCCGGCTGCACAGCTGATCCAAAGTGCAAAATGACCGAGGAGTCATTAAGGTGAATGAACGGCTTAATTCCAAGAGCTATAAAACGCTTCGGGTGGAGTGGCAGTACTGATCAATACTACAGCCAAATGAGGCCGGGACACACACAGACACACACGCACACGCATGCATGCACGCACGTACACACACACACAAATCCCTAATCCCAACAATGACACCCTTAACCCCTACCCAGCCCTAACGTTAACCATAAGTAACCAAACAAAATACAAGACTTATGGCAATTTTAGTGTTTTGATTCCAGTTACAGATTTTTATTAAATTGATTTCACCCTTGTGGGGGTCCCACAACATTAAAATAACAGATGTTTATTAGATTCTGGAGACATTTAGTCCCCTAAAACATTAAATATACCTAACACACACACGCACACACACGCACGCACACACACACACACACACACACTAGGAGCATGTGAGGGGCTGAATGTAGCCTAGAAAATAGGGCCCAGGGAGACAGAAGGCCGCACCAGGCCTTGCCTTCAAACAGCACGGAGCAGATGCGGCCATGGGTTTGGGTTTCCAATCTGCGGTTCACCAGAGCACAAGCAACATCCCGTAGCAGGACAGACGAAGCCCGACGACTCTGACTCCGCGGCAGGATGCCGGGTCGCCGCTTCCTGACGAACATCGGATCCCCGCTGATCGATAGCCGCCCATCGGGCTGCGGGGAGCACTGCAGGGTGTCACCAAAACCAGCCAATCATTTGCATGTCTAAGCAGAATCCCTTTGTTGAGGTGGCTCACATTCATTATTTTCATAAACGACATTTTCTAGGAAATTTTTTACAGCTATTGAGTAAATGTTGTTACAGTTGGGAACGTTCCATTTCTTTCCCCCCGCTATCCCCTGAGCTTTCGTCTAGCGGGACTCCCATGTTGCGAAACACCCAATATCACATGATCATGGATGACCAGCTATAGAAAGACCCCGTTCAGAGTTCATTTCCTAACAGTGATCGTACGATGATAACAAAAAGGGTATTTAAAGCATTGGGGTTATTTTACATCAGGCCATCTCAGAGCATGAAACAGGAAACAGGAAAACTCGCCACACAAGTTGTGTTAAGGTGACTGGGTGATATTCCAACCTCTGCTCGAACCCCACCGCTACCGGGACAGACAGGGCGGGGACAGAGGCCTGCGGGAACGCTGGTCTAAGGCAGCACCTCACAGTCTTTTATAATTTAGATCTAATACAGGAGCCCACTGGGTATCCTAGCAACGCCGTGGCACTCTGTCTGCCCAGGGTTGTGAGGTGGTCTCCTCTACAGCCTGATCCACTACCATTACCCAGAACGCACTGCACACCCTCCCCCACATTGGTGCTTAGTGCTGCCTCACCATTCCTGCATCTTGATGGGTGGCCGTTACACTGGGGGTCGTGGTCAGGGCATCCGATTACATTTTAAAAGGTAACTTGATGTCACGAGGAACACAGGCTCAAAAAATTAGGCCAACGTTGAGACTAATATTAATCAAAATATTACTTACAATAATATGGTTAAATTGAAATTACTACTGTCGTTTAAAAGCCCTGATTAGTTTAATGGATTAAACAACCAGTGGGGGGTGTGCACTGCAGCAGTTTTAACATTCGACTGCAGTTTCGTGCTTAACCCCTTTAAAGTGAAAGCTGACCGAAGCTCCTGAATGACCATTAACGTGCAGAAATCATCAGCCGTGGCAGACAGAGGATGCTGCAAGTCAGGAAAACCTGAGTGTCCAAGCGGAAATTCAGGACGTGTTGTGCTAAACCTCAAGTGGCAATTTTAGGACAAGATAGTGAAGATGCAGCTTTCTCTGGTTAAGAAAAAATAAAAACCCTCACAGGGAATCAGTCTTCCAAGCACCTCTCTTCCATTAAGGAACCCCTTGATTGATGGCAATGTGATTGTTGCACTTTGGCACTGGTGATCACCAGAGACTGGTTGGGAGCACTTGAATGCCCTCTGCTGGCCAAAAGTGAAATCACACTTATAACTGGCATGCCTCACTTTCCCCATAGGTGCTCATGTTAATGCAAGACCCATCTACTTAGAAGCATGACACCCCAACACATCCATTACAGACCATCCCCAGCTGAGGATATGAACCAACAAGACAGCTGAGCAGGCAAATAAGTCAGAAATGTATCAGGAGACATTTACGATCCAGGGAATTGTGTAAACATCACTGAGCAACACTCGCACTTTGTCCTCCTTAAGGAGGAAAAAAATTCATAATAATAATCAAGAAGCAGACAGTTGAAATCGACCCCTGACCCTCAGCTGCCTCTAACCTCCAGGATTGCTTAACACTGCAGATTAAGCTTTACAAACTCCAGATTGCTCAACGTGCTAAAGATACAAAAGAAAGCTGTGGGGCCTTCATGTCAGATGGGACCCCTACCTCACCTCAGTAGCCCTCCCTCACCTCGGCCAGTGCGGTCAGGCCACTGGGCTCCCTCCCGTAGAGGCTGGGACGTCTGGGCTATGCTTCCAGACTAAAACCCCCCTCCTCGGAGGTCTAGAGTTCGGCCTTGTCACGATAAGGTTGCACCAATGACCTCTTTGGCTGTGGAGGGAAAATGATAATATCCAAAGAGTCAAAGATCCAAAGAGTCAACAACAAGAGCTGGGGTGGTGGGAGAGTTATGGCACTTTTCCCACTGCCACCAGGAACCCGACCCACACTGCGAACTGACGCATTTCCACTGCAAAGTATGTGAACCAATCCATACCCGTGCGGACAGTAAACTTGGCCGAAAGTGTGACCAAAACGAGCTGATTGCGTCACCACCATCTGACTGGTCAAAATGCATGGAGTTCTGTGTCGATAAGCATGTATTATCTGATAATAGCATATTCTATATATTTTTATTAGTAGTATCGCACATTGCAATGCATTGATGCATTCCTGATAACTTGGAATCTGAAAATTTCCAACCTCCTGCTTAAAAAAGTAGTATATAACAACTCAATGGAATGGATTCGTAATAAAAATTTACACAAGTGAAAGCTAATTCCGGTTGCGTTTGATGCTAACATAACACAATGATTCTCACAGATATGCTAACAGAAATTAGCACACAGTAAAAACAAAGGGAAAATGAAAACATTGCACATTGTAAATAATTATATGCATCGTATGAACGGTAAATAAGCATCTCTTTGGTTTTACGTCACTGTCACTCTCCAAAACTGGCAGTGCCTTCACCAAGCCAACCTTCCTGCAGTGGAAAACTGAAGCGAGCTGGAACTGTGCTGTAACTAGTCTCTCTTTTTGGTGTGGCTTAGATACGGGTCGGTTCCTGTATGCCAGTAGAAACGCGCCATTAGACACCTACACTCAGGACGCACTTTATTAGGTACACTTATCTAGTACTGGTATAACCAACTTTATTAGGTACACCTAGCAAGTTCTGGGCAGAACCCACTGTAGTGGTTATATCTAGCTAGAACCAGGAAGGACCTACTTTATTAGGTACACCAAGCTAGAACCAGGAAGGACCTACTTTATTAGGTACACCAAGCTAGTACCAGGAAGGACTCACTTTATTAGGTACACCAAGCTAGTACCAGGAAGGACGCACTTTATTAGGTACACCAAGCTAGTACCAAGAAGGACGCACTTTATTAGGTACACCAAGCTAGTACCAGGAAGGACGCACTTTATTAGGTACACCTAGCTAGTATCAGGTAGGACCCACTTTATTAGGTACACCTAGCTAGTACCGGATAGGACCCACTTTATTAGGTACACCTAGCTAGTACCGGATAGGACCCACTTTATTAGGTACACCAAGCTATATAGTACTGGGAAGGACTCATTATTGGCGTGTTTCAGCATAGAGGAGTTGTACAATCAGAGGGGTAATTCTGCACACCACTATTATATATTTTTTTCACTTCCTGTTATCTTCTGAGCTTTCAGCAACAAAACTACTTCGGACGTCTTTTCTTCATCGTACCATTGGGTGAGTTTCCCGAAGCCTTCTTAACGCTATGTCGTTCACAAGTTCTATGTTAAAAGCTGCATTGTTCGTGAGTTCTATGTTAAAAGATAGAACTTCTGAACGACGTAGCGTTAAGAAGGCTTCGGGAAACTCACCCATTCTGTAAACTCTAAAGACCTGTGTGTAAAGATCGCAGGTAGGTGGCCGTTTCTGAGGTGCTAGAACCATCATGTCTGCTACCGACAATCACGCCACGTTCGAAAAAACTGCGTAGGATTAGATTGCAGCCACATGATTCGCTGTTTGGAGGTACAGCGGTCCCCAGTGAGAAAAAGACAAGTTAATAAATGTGTTGGACGATCAGGCTGTTTGCACTAGAGGTGTACTGCTAATGCTTTATTTGATTGGACACAAATAATATAGTATTATACTAATACTTAAGTATTAATTAACCACAAAGTAAGTCTAAGCTACATACCTATCTCATGTTTGTTCATCATTAATGAATCATGATGCATCCCAGTTACTATATTAGTTATTAAATCTGTTAATTCTGTAAACCCTTGTGAAATACTGAAGAAAATACTGAAGGAACAAGTCATGAATATCACAAGTGACATACCGATCTCATGTTTGTTCATCATTAATGAATAGTGACTCACCTTTTATCTCAAGTAGCAACTATATTTGTTCATGATTTATATTTCACTAGTTAATACTCAGTATTTGTGCCCTGTCAGGTAATGTGTTACCATCATACCGAATACAATAGCCATTGGCAGTAGTTTAGTTTGACTGAAACTGAATGGAGCGAGACAAAGACTTAGGATAATTAGACAGGTCGGCTAGGAGAGAAGGTTTTGACACAGAGAAAGAGAATAATGACGTTTCAGATGTCAGCTGTCCTAGTTACACACTGGAGAGCCTGTATTCCCGTTTAGCGTGGCCTGACAGGACTTGCAGAAAAGCCATTGGAGGAAAATGAAGGTGCCATATAGGTCTCATGAAAATGTCAGTTTTAATCTCTTCCCCATGTTTGCATATGCAGACATTACATACAGAAAAGCCCTGGGGTCCTCGGGAAGATTTATACACAGATCAACCTCTCACAGGTCTTACAAGAAAGCTCTTCAGTGAAGAAATATAGCAATAGATGTCCAGGGAAGTGTCACTGAACCACTGAGCTCCCCAACACTCCAGCAGGGACAAAATGGACTGAGCAGCACCAGACCTGTGGGTCAGTCCAAGCAGACTAACTTCAGTGGATGTCAGAACCTGATGCCAGTGCAGTTTGGCGTTGCAGAGACTCAGTATGGGCTCACACAGTCAAAAAGAACGAAGCAGATGGGTGTAAAGGTGAAACTAACTATAAGAAAATTGTTTTTTTAAATGTACTGTTCAGCTGCATCCCTGAGACATCTTCCAATGGCAATGTGCCCCGGCAAGCCCCGCCCACACCCTCTGCCCCACCCACTTCAGGCACGCGCCCTACTGTCCATCCAAGGTACTGCAAATGAGATTCACTTGGTGGTTGAAATCCTCTGGCTGGTCCGCAAACACGTAATGGCCGGCGCCTCGAATCACCTGTGGCGGAAAGGGCTTAGGGTTACATGCCGGCCGTATGTTAAACACTTTCCTTTCAAACAGAATAATCGTTGATAATAATGCATGCCAGAGAACACTTTAGATTGTAGTGGCCCACAGAGGCGGAATGTTAGCTTACCACGATCTCCACGCGCGAGTCGGGCCTGGCGTCCTTGATGGCGCTGCCCGAGTCGCTGTCGATGCTGGAGCGGGAGCCGTAGATGACCGTGATGGGGACGTCCCACCGGATGAGGCCCACTCTCTCCAGCATGGGCCTCTTAGCCCAACCGTAGGGGACGGTCATGTTCTTGAAGGCCGTCTCGCCACTGCAGCGAGGGTGCGATCAAGTAAAAATAGTGCAAAATTTCCTTGAGGAATGCCAGCTACTCTTAAAATAGGAAAACTCCATGCAACATGAGCCGGGGTGCGGGGGCCGGAAGATCTGCGAAAGCGCTGAAAAATCTGCTGGGGGTTGGCCCGGGCCTACCTGGGACTCTGCACGTTGAGGTGGTAGATGTAGTGGGAGACCGTGTTGTCGCTGAGTATGGATGAATACTTCTGTTTGAAGTCCGGTCTGATGGCCTGGACCAGCACGGGGCCTGAGCAGCAGAAAGGGACACCCACAAGGCATCAGTCTGAAGAGGATTCAAAACTACATTAAAAAACTATTTCATTTATGGACATGAAGCAAAAACCTTATTTCGGCTGGGAAATCAATCTGCAATGGGCACTAATGAATCGAGTGGAGGGACAGAAGTATGCACAGCTTGGTTTGGACCCCTCCTAGCCCCCTCCCCACATTTTCAACCAGGAGGTCAAGGGAGGAAGAGTCAACTGGCTAAACTTCTCATCTGTAAGACTGTACCAGATGAATTCAGGGCAGCGGGTAGGCAGGAGATGCCCTGGTAGTTCTGGACAGCAGCGCTGACAGGAATAGAGAAGAGATGCTTACCCAGCGGACCTGCCAGCCGCAGGCCAGCCAGAGGGTTGAAGGGGCTCATGGCGGCCCCCACCACCTTGATCCACACCGGGACGGGACGGTCCCTCTCCTTGGCTTCCGGCCGCCTGGGGAAGCCCCACGGCTCCACCAAGATGAGGTGCTTCACCCTGGAGACCACAAATCCCAGCTGCTAACTCAGCAGCTCACAAGTCACCAGAGGAGCTCAGTCTAAACCGGAGCTGCAGACAAATCTAAGGTTCTAACAGTCTGCTGAAGGTGCAACCCCCCCACCAAGAGCACCCAACTAACACCTCAGAAGGGGTGTGACCCTTCCTGTGATCCTTGAACAGTTTACTAATCCCACCACCCAGCTATCTCACTGAACAAGCCATCCTTCATAAGCAATCAAGCTCCATTTTAGAGTTATTTTTTGTAAGCAAGAAATGGTCCAGAATCAGACTGCAAGTGTGCCATCCACCTACAGACGGCACCTTCAGCCGATGGCTGTCTGCCACTTCGTGAGTCATACAGGCCTACCGGTTTAGCAAAACTACCAGCCTTTGGCAACAGAGGACTCCTCTAGGAGGTGCTCATTCTGCACCCACACAAGCAGATTTAAACCTCCTTCCCAGGAGGATCATAAACATCTTTCTCAGGCATATACATTCATTGGAGACAAGTGTTCATATTCTGCAGCCTGAGCTACAGTGACTGTGCAAAGCACTTTGACTGGACCAACCGAGACGCTCGTGTCATTCCTGCACTCAGCCACTCACAAGGCCTCATATGTGCCAGAAATAATCCCATATTAGCAGCACTTAGAGAGCTGAAACAGGGCCATTGTTCTCATTACACGCGAGAGCCTCATTACCCAGAAGGGTCTCTGGATTTCAGAGAAACAAAGGATAACATTTCTATTTAAAGTCGTGGATGGTATCAAGTATCAGTACAAGGCCATTACACTGTCCCCAGCATTAACCTGCAAGTCTATGTCTCCACTAGAGGGCACACTGACCTGGAAGGGTACTTGAGCGCATAGACAGAGGCCAGATATCCACCCAGGTTGTGCCCCAGCATGACCATGGTCTCCAGGCCGACCTCGGCTCTCCATTCCTCTATGGACTCCACAAACTGGGACTCTGCTTCAGTGGCGTCAGCGCTGAACTCCGGACGGCTGCTCTGGCCAAAACCGAGCAGGTCTAGGGCGTAGACGGGCCGCTGCTTGGATAGCATGTCCAGGTTTTGGGTCCAAAGCCCAACTCCGCCCCCGAAGCCATGCAGAAGCACCAGAGGGGTCCGGCAGGAATCATTCTCATTGAAAAGCAGCGTCCAGATCAGGTTGCCTTTTGATATCGGGATGTGCTGCTTGGAGAAGTTGTTCTGTATCGCTGAAGGATAGGGGCAGGGTTAGAAGTGGTTAAGGCGTCGAGCAGCAATCAGGAGTATAAGGAACCCTTGAAAGACTCATGAGGAGACTTACACTGCAGCATCTTCTCTTCTGCATCTCTCAGCTGGGATGGTGACGTGGGGCACCAAGATGGAAGCCAGCTGGTTATCCGCCATGACCTGCAGGAAGGAACGCTAGCTGTGCAGACGTACACACAAGGGTCTCTCCGCTAGACGGCCTACACGTGGTCCATCGATAGAACTTAGGACAGAGTGAATAAATGCGCGTAGAGGTTGAGGTGATGAGGCAGTCAAAGATCGCCGGACTGAGCACTACCAAGGAACTCACCTCGAGATCACAGAGATGGATTCCCCTGCTCATCACACAAAAAAAACACCAGGGGCTACATCTGACTGGCGATTAATTTCAGGACCAATCAGATCCATTATTCATTCATAATTATGAATGAATGAATGAATGAATGATGTTACATTTATACAGCACTTTACAAGACACTCAACCACCACCACTGTGCAGCACCCACCTGGACAATGCTACGGCAGCCATTCTGCACCAGTACGCTCACCACAACAGTAGCTAAGGTGGGGAAGGGGCAGGAGGGGATTCACCAGTTAGATATAGGGGATGATTAGGAGGGCACATTTGAAAGGGCCACAGTGGGCAATTTTAACCAGGACATCTAGGTGCCACCCAAACTCTTTCAAAAGAGGCCCAGGGATCTTTTATGATGTCAAAGAGTCAGGACCTCAGTTTTACGTTTCATCGGAAGGACGGCACCATTTTTACAGCACAGAGTTCTCATCACTGCATTGGGGAACTGGGATCCAGACAGACCACAGGATGGGCTAACCTGTTAGCCACACCAGCATCTCTTCCAGCAGCAACTCAGCTTTCCTAATTGGTCTCCCATCCAAGTTTTGGGAGACCAGCGGGTGGCATTTACACATGCTTAGTGTTACACTAAGACCGTCCTGCTCTAAGCGTGCGGCGAGCCTGCGAGCAGAACCCCTGTCACCATTAGAATCTCATTCAGATCTTGTGATGTGAGAATTCCATTTGTGAAACTCATGGCGTGAGACTAGCATGCACTGTTAACCACTCACTGGATTAACTCAAGCGAACCATTTAACTGGTCGACTGAAGTAACCAATGAGCGATTAACTGACTGACAGCATGTATAAATCCAACCCATTTCTCCATCATGTCTTTGAACATTTAAATCTGCTGCAATTGAGCTTCCCGATTCCCAGCACCGGTTCCTCATTTTTTTCCCAGAAACCTCCATAACAGAAACTCCCCCGGGTTCTAGAAGCGACATCACACATGTAGAACACAACCTCTGTCGGCATGGATACGGGGCAGACCGTGGGCACCTCTCCCCTGGTAACACAGAAACACTGCTCTATGACCCCAACAAACACCCGCCCTCCCCAGCAGAGACACTGACATCACGATTCTACCATGGTGCCACAGTCGTATGACAAATACGCAGGAAGTACACGCAAAGGCCAGCCACGTGTCCTCTGGCGGGGGGGGGGGCAAAGTTCGACATGCGAGCTGATCCTTCAAACACAAACACCCCAAAGGAGCTGTGATATCCCACATTCAGAAAACAGCCATTTCACACTGGATTTACCATAATGGTACATTGTCTGCGCAGTTCATATCTTTTTTTTTAATTCAGTGTGATTTTTTAATCGTTTTTTATTCTATACACTTGTCTACCTTTTCCTATGTTATTATTTTCTGCATTGATTTCTACCTAAATTACCCATTGTTGCATTTACCCTTCTGTGATACTGTACAAAGACATTTCCCCTCACAGGGATCAATACAGTTCCCTCTTAGATTACATGCCTGCAATCATGACTGACGTAACGCAGAGACATATGCAGTGTTTTCTGTAGTAAAACACCGGTTGATATCTACTGTATTTGGAAACGGGCATGACCATACAGGCCTCAGATTTCACTACAGGCTGGCTAAACCATAACGACACGGAAAGATTTCACTAAACCTGTAAGCGATTTTATAAATTGCGCATTTTATAGTCAGCAAAGTATTTATAGCCCTGATTTTGTATTCTGCAAACTGAGGACAAGCAAGTACTATACATCTAGTTTTCCCACTCTGGGAATATTCTGTAAGATGGTAAAGTCAGGATAAGGCATCAAATATAACAAATGCGAATGGAAGTGTGATGTCACACATCCACCTACAATCGATTCGTGGAGGCGGTCAGTTCCACACTGGCTAAATGCTCATACATCCATCCTGTCTGCAAACAAGTCCAGAGTCTCCATCCCAGAACACCTTCGCCACTACGGAGATGCTAACTACCCCTGTAGCAGAATAAAATTTTCCACGACTCACTAAGAGTCGACACCAAAGAGGCAGCTTACCACCAAATTACTGACATTCTTGATTCTCTCTTTTTTCATTTTTGATCACCAACAGCTTCTCCACCCTTTTCAGGTGTGGATTCGGCAACATGAACAAAACACAAACTTAGGATGAAAAAAGACACTATCCTTTACAATAAATATGGACATACTCCTAAACTGATAATACAAATAATCTGACAACGTTTAAATGCCATTTATTATGTTGTATCCATGAAAGAATAGACTGATTTACTCCTGAATGGAGTCTTTACTTTAATATGAAAAAGTTTGGAAATAGACTACAGTACTTACCTAAAGGACACCGTTTTGAGCTGCAACGGGTGCAAGGACTTTATAATTATAGACATAAATACTTTTGCTTAAGTTCTTTACTTCACTTAGCTGTAATTTCCGTCTCATTTAAAGCATTACATACATCAAAAAGTGCTGTATATATAGAAGAGAGATTAGAACAACAAAACAGTCGCTAAAATTAATGTAATCAGTGCAAAACAGTCTATGTCTTTAGGCAGAACTTTAAAGAATCCCTGATTTGTCATTTTAACAATCATAATATTTATTTGGGCACGACCGTCTAAAAGAATATCGAAGGCAAGGGATATAACACTATATAGCACGTGAAATATTGGGGATCTTGTTGTATCGGTACGTGCTTCCGATCGGCAGTGAAATACAGCCCCTATCACCTAGTGCCTATCATCTATTCATTCCTCAAACTAACACTAAAGCGAAAATATACTAAGCGAAGATACAAAACACGCAGATCAGCTGCCGACCTACAAACAACCCATCAAAGGCAGTTAAAGTTTTATTAAAAATAAATCGCACGTATAGCCTAAAAAACACTTTCATGAAGCAGATTAAACTCAATCAAAATATTTCCCTGCTCCATCAGACACGTTATAAATTAAATTAGAAATACTGCGTAGATGAAGGTCAATAAAGCTAAACAAGAAAAGTTTGCAGTTCACACGGCCCATATGCTTAAGCCACCCGGACCCAACTCACCGTCCGCCCGCCGCCGCTGTCGCCGACCCCGCGTCCATCTCTGCATTTGTCCCGAGGGCAGTTGTCCCGACTAGCGGCAGCCAATACATTGGGGGCGTGACCAGAGCACTGGGGGCGTGGCCTCGACGACCCCAGGTTCCAGCCACGTGCTCCTTCGATTTACTTGTATCCCCCCCCCCCCCCCCATTTAATATTAAGCCAGCAAATGTGTAAACCTGGAACTATTAGAAACCGGTAGGCTATATGATGTTTATTGTTTCTTTCATGTTCAGTCTATTTTGATACTGTGGGTTTATGTTTAATTCTTATCCACTGGTTCCCGTTCTGTCGTAATTACGGGCATTACCAAATTCAAGTCCTCATAAATGTAGGCTACATATCGTTTTAATTCACATTCACATATATATCGCATTAATTCTTATATTATGATATTATATTTCATTTATATTTTGTCATTTGTTTTATCAAAATTATACCAAGGCAGTTTTATTGCTGTGTAAGTAGTTATAGACAAACCCATGTAGTTCTATGGGTCTCGCGGTTCGCTTCACACTTAAAATAGGTTTATACATATTTTTAACGCAGTGGCTTTAGTTCCCATTTTGACGGGTCCATATAGCTCTCCGCATATCTGCAGCTCCCAATGCGCCCATTGTGACTTTTTGATTTCTTGTGCTACAAACTTCCGCCCTTGTCACACACAGCAGGAGCCCTCGGTGTGAAGCTGCGGAGCGGCCAGGCTAGTCGCGGTAGCCATTAGAGCCGATCCCGGCACGTGTCCCGCTACCGGAGCCTCTCCCAAAGCAGGGTGTGTTACTTTCCCCTGCCGAAGCGCGGGGCACCAACCCCTGTCGCCGTGACGTGAGCCGGATTCCTAACGTCAACAGCCTCCAGAAAAGCAGCCGGGTCGCAGCAGCGGCGCTCTGGCGGCCAACATATGAATGCCTCGGACACCCAGCTTCTCCCGAAAGAATAACTATATAAAAATAGACGTATGCAAAAGCGATCCGGTAAGTAGAGGTTTTCCTACGGCGCCTGCAGCCGGATGGCAGTGCGCGACCGACGGCCTGATGAGGGCGTTAACGTACATGCCTTTGATCGCAAATCTATGGCGTATAAACACCACCTTGGTGTATCAGTCAGCGATACTTTTTAGCAGTTATATGAAAATTCCGCTCCTCCCGAACTATCGGTGTCCCCGATCGGGGGACGCAGCTTTGCAGTGGGGATCCCAGGCTCCTCCCAGCTGCCCCCGGCCCGTTTAGGAAATCCGCCTGGTTCGTGCGGCAGATTCCGCCGCGCTGGCCTTACGGTTCCGATTGGTCTTCCGGCAAAACCCTCGGCTTTGATCGTTTCTGAAAAACTACGGAACGGTGTCTGAAGCGGAATAGCAGGTTTTTCCAGAATTCGGCTGTATGACTAAGCTATACTACTGGCAGTAGCCTATGTGTAAGTGATCGCAAGTAATACTCTATAAATAAATAAACAGATGAAAGTTTGGTTTTACGGGCTGTTTATGCGGCCAGTGTTGTGACAGTAACACTGATGTAGGAATGTAGGTTACGTAAAGAAAACTTTTAAACGACCCCATGACAGATCAGCGACCTTTCGTTTACTCTTCCCGAGCAGGGGCAGAAATGTCGTTTGCGGACCAAACCCAGTTCACCCCGCTGGTGGTATGTGAGTTAGCGGAGGACACCAAAGAAGAGGCTGTGGAGTGGTTATTAAGCAGAATAAAAGAAAAGCAACGTAATGGAGGTGAGTCCAGTCGGCGTTGACATGCCTCTCCGTCTTAGGATAGTTGTTCATTACTGTTTTATGATAGTATTCGTCCCCCTGTTACTAGATCGTTTTTAGTAATGTGGCAGCTAGGGCTGTAAGAGAAACTGCCAGAACAGCCTTATAACAGGGGGCGGGGCCTAACAGTTACCCGTTCTGGTAACGTTGACCGAATGTTACGGGTAACGCTTTACTTGACGGGGCACAAATAATATAGTATAATACTATTACTTGTGTATTTTTTATTTTTTTTTACTTATGTATTAATTAACCAGAAATTAAGTGTTAGTTACATATTTATCTCATGTTAATTCATCATTAATGAATTGTGACGCATGTTTTATCCCAAGCAGTTACTATATCTGTTAATTCTGTAAAATTTTGTGAACTACTGATGGAACTACTAAGGAACTGCTGAAGGGCCAAGTAATCGATAACACAAGTGAAATACTGATCTCATATTTGTTGATCATTAACGAATTGTGACGCATCTTTTATCTCAAGTAGCAACTATATTTGTTCATCTTTAGTCCTTCAGTAGTATCTGAGTTATTTCTATTTGTGCCCCGTCAAGTAAAGTGTTACCCAGTTAAGGTAAAGAAGCATTCAGTGTCCAGTTCTCCTGATCTTCCCAGAACGCTATCCCACTACTACAAATAATACTAATAGTTAGTGCTGGGCGATAAAGCGATCTCGATTTTTTATCGATAAAAAATGAGGACGATCATGATGATACACACAGACTATAAAACTCGATCAACCAAGTTTGCTCCGTTTTAGAGAATGCGCTGAGACAGACAACTCGATGACCTATCGAGGAGAGGTTTACTGAAAGCCAGCACAACAGCCAATCACCGACGACGTTGTAATTTTGCCCATCCTACCTTAAAGAAGCAATGGGTGCGTTCGACTTGGGCTTTGGTCTGTCTGCAGCTGATGAGACGTGGAGTGCGATGTGCTGGTGTTCTGTCGATTTATGCTGCCTTGTCGAAAAATGCTACCGTAGTGCTAATCGATAGCCCTAACTCTTACTCTAACCCTAACTCCCCAAAACCCTTACCCTAACCCAGGGGTGTCAAACTGCAGTCCTGGGGGGCCGGAGCCCTGTGTAGCTTAGTTCTTTCCCAAATGATTCAGCTCAACAGCTGTGTGGTAATTAGCACAAGAAGTTGAATCAGGTGTGTTAAACAAGGGGAAGCCCAAAAATGTGCAGGGCTCCGGCCCCCCAGGACTGGAGTCTGACACCTGTGCCCTAACCCCTAAACCCTAACCCTAATCCCAAGACGGTGGAATTGCACATGCGCAGAAAGGCTCGGGCGCGTCTCGATAGGTAGGATTTTATGACAGAACACCGGCGGCTGCAGGGGTGGAGTATAAACTGACTGCAGCCAAGTCGGACAACTTCTACTCCTCGTAGTCTGCGAGACCTGACTGCAATGGCAGCACTGCCAGAAGGGTGTAAATACATCTATACAAATATCACCTGCATGCACATTACTTCTTTTACAATAACCAGCTCCTGATACAAACTGTTAGCAGTGAATAACACTATTGTGTATAGTGGCTCTGTGTAAAAAGATAGCTGCCAGGAAAAAGATTAAATACACGTATTTCAAGGATTCAAAGTTTTTATTGTCATGTACAGAGTACAATGCAATTCTTACTTGAATGCCTTCTTCACAGACTAGACAATTAAACAAATAAAGCAGCGCAACATTACAGTAACTAACAATAAATAAACCACTAACTTACGTGTACTGTTAGAGTATTTATGTAATTTATTTAAACTTTATTTTACCAGGTAAATGAACTGAAAACCAGTTCTCACTGCTTTATGTGCTTTTCTTGAGAAATAGCAGATAACGCATTGGAACAGCAGTAAGACTTTATACCCGCTAATTTTACCATCACTGAATAGCGGAAAAGCAGATTTAGCGGGACATCATTCGCGGGTGTCAGGGAGCTGCTGTCAATTTGCGGGAGACAGAAATGGGATGTCTGTGTGTGTTTAATCCTCTGGTTTCCTTTGCAACTTGTCAGGAGCTGAGTTCCAGGTCAGTCGGCTCCTACCAGCGCTGTCCCAGGATGATAAAAAGGAGAACCCCAACATTTTCCTGGTGGGGGCCTCCTGGCAGAGGCTCCTGATTGGTGCAGAGGATCTGGGTCTGATCAAGGAGTTCAGTGACGGCTCCATGCGAACCTTCACCTACGCCAACCGGGAGGACTTTAAGGACTTCCAGGGTGAGGAGACTGAGCTCAGTTCCTGGGTGCTAATGGCACTAAATCACATTGTTAGATTCTGTCCGCAGAGCCTTAGATTACCAGTGCTGGGTTCCATTTACCTCGGAGGTGGGAATTCAGAACTGGGAATGATGTCACATATGAGTTAACAGTATTCCAGTACATAAAGTCCGAAAGCCACTTAGCAGTACTAGGGGCCCGTTTCAAAAAGCAAGATTTCTTGCTTACCTGGATGACTAGTCAGATTTAATTTACCCAACTGTAAATGGCCTTTATTTTCATTCACTTACATTTAGCCAGAGTACCTTAAATTGTCTGTTTAAACAAGAAATGCTGTTTAATGAAATTGGCCCCACCTCTAGCCCAGTTAATTGTTAGCAATATTAGTGGATACCAACACATTACGCGGTATTTTGCCTAGCAACACGTACACAGATGGCGGTTGGACAGTACTGTGTGTACAACCAATTTAATAAACCATAAATAAGACGCAAGTGCTAATAAACAGCATAAAACTACAGCTTTAGCTTCTGTTGATCCGGGGTGCAGCCATCTTGGATTCTGAGCTCCGACTTCAGGGGGCGTTCCAGTTATAATTTCCGCAACTCGGAATTAATGAGTTACAAGTTGGGTTTTTATCCCTTATGAGTTCAAATGGAACGCAGCATAAGATTCCTGCTATTACCCTCTTGCACAGCTGGTTGTTTACCGCTAGCCAACACGGGTTTAGCCGCGCTTAGCTAACATAATCAGCAGTTGATGTTAACTGTACTAATTACTGTTAGACCAGTAATGGGCAAACTCAGGCATAAGCGGTGTTTGCTCGCCCACCAGGGGACGGCGATGGCTTCCTCAGCATGGCAGAGTGCCAGCTCATCATCAAGCATGAGTTGGACACCCTGCGGGCCAAGCAGGAAACGTACGTGCCCGGCTACCCCAAGATCAAGCTGTACCCGGGAAAGTCAATCGGTAAGGATGCCGTTTCCACTTCCTGCCAGCTGTCAGGATGATTCCCTGGGGGTGCCTGGTTTACTTTGTGTCTTTGGTTATTTATCGTAATTAGCACTCGGTGCATGTAAATCTTTCACACACCCGTTGGAGGCTCATTCTGTCAGACACATATTATTTGCAGTTTATCCCTCCTGTACATAAATAGGATAAACCATGTTAGAGTCTGTGTCTAATATTCACCCTATCCGGATTCCTACCCCTTTTATAAAATTAGTGCGTCGGATGCACTCCAAAGGGATCCTTCTCCAGATCTTCCCTCTCCATGATAAAGAGGAGTTGAAGAGGTTGTCCTCCACCTGGTACCAGCAGATCAGAATGGCTTTCCAGCCTCTCGGTAGGTGTGCGTGGCTGAAGGAGGTGTGTGGCTTGGTGGGTTTGGACTCTGAGCTGATGACCAGAAGGTTCCTGGTTCAGATGCTGTGGTCGGCAGAGTGATTTCACCCTTTGGGCTCTTGAGCAAGGCCCTTATACCCCAGTTGCTTCTGGGACCACCTGACCCTACGTTATCAACTGTACATCACTTGGAATAAAGTGTTTGCGAAATAAGTAAATGTAAGTGTGTGAGATGGGAGAGGCAGGCAGCTGAGAGACCACAGATGGCGTTCCTCATTCGCAGAGGTCATTGGAAATCCCTGTTGCCACATCCTGATGCATATGAGTCATGTTTTGTTGGCAGGTCAACTGGCATATGAGTACAACTCAAGATAAGGCTGCTTTTGGGTTAACTAATGATACTTTTGTGTTATGTAGATGAACAATCAATACAAGTCCTGTCTGTGATTGGATGGTTTGACTCTTTGGTTGCCTTAGCGATAATTCCATCAGTGGCTTTCCAGAGTTGTTACAGGCTGGGTTTCTTCCAAAGACCCCTTCTCTATTCTAGGGTGCAGGTCTGCAGATAAGGGAAGTGCTTTTTTTTTTTTGTAAATTTTTTCTTGAATAGAAAAACTTTATTTAAAATCACGAGTCACAACATTTTTTGTTTGTTTACAAACCAACCAAATTGGAATGTATATAGTAATGTTAATTAACCATTTGACCTTTTAATCAGCAATTCTGTCCTTACAACAAACACTACTTGAGCAATAATCTAATTAATTATTAAGGTATGTAAAAAAAACTGTAGATATTTTTAAAAATTGCAGGAGTCATTATAGTTGTTTTGTTATACTAAAGTTTTCAGTACAAATGGACATGGATCACTTTGGTCAATAACTGTTCACTTCTGAACAAACCATTTCCACACAATCAAAGTGGAACCTTTTTTTGGAACCAGTTCTTCCTCATCCAGCCATGCCGTGCACTGACTGCGTAACCAGCCCGTGTGTGGACCATGTGCTGTTTACCGTGTGACATGAGTGCAATATTTTTAGCAATCTGATGGTATTTCAAGCCGGGGTGTAGGAACGTGGGGGGGCGTGTACCACCCTATATTTAATTCGACTTCATTTGTCCCTCTAAAAAAATGAAACTTTAAATTAAGTTGTGTCCCCACAAATATCAATATTTCTCCTACGCCAGTTTTTTTTTACCAAGTTAGCTAAATGGTTATAAAAGAACAGCTAAATTTTTAGTTCCGTATGTAGTCATTAAATTGAGATGTTATGTGGGCTGAAATTACTTTGTTGCAATCTCCAAACACACAGAGCGTTATAACAGCGTTAAGTCGTGCTGTATTGAAATACAGTAATTGCCTTATAACTCTTATCGCCGATACAATTGCAAATAGTTTGAAAGAAGATGTTATTCATTGGACAGTACAGGACCATCACTGTAAATTAAGCCTCTCCTCTTTGTAGATGAGTTAGTGACAGTCGTCCTCCCCTGATTTGTGGCTATTGCCATCTTACCGTGGTATTCTGTTCGCTCCAGATGACATCCGGCGCTACTTCGGGGAGAGCCTGGCCCTGTACTTCGGCTTTCTGGAGTACTTCACCTTAGCTATGCTCCCCATGGCCATCATTGGGATTCCCTACTACTTCTTTGACTGGGAGAACTATGACAACTATGTAGTCTTCGCCATCTGCAACCTGATTTGGACCACGGTGATGCTGGAGATGTGGAAGCGATTCGGGGCCTGCCTGGCGTATAGCTGGGGCACGCTGTCCAGGAAGAAGGCCTTCGAGGAGCCACGGCCCGGCTTCCACGGCGTCCTGGGCCACAACCCCGTCACGGGCCGCGAGGAACCTGTCTACCCCAACGCCAAGCGCCATCTGCGCATCTACCTGGTGTCGTTGCCGTTCGTGCTGCTGTGCCTCTACGTGTCCCTGTGCGTCATGATGGTCTACTTCGACGCAGAGGGCTGGGTGCTGGGGCTGCATGATGTTGAGCCCACGTTCTGGACAGGCCTGCTCCTCTTCCTGCCCAGTATCGTCTATGCCGTGGTCATCGAGATCATGAACCGTCTCTACCGCTATGCTGCCGAATTCCTAACCGATTGGGGTATGTACACCTTCCCCATCGCTTCTGTGACACTGATCACTTCCCCTCACAGCCAGCGGTGTGTTTACAACCACCACTCACTGGCCACAAACTGCCTCTACCCAATATTAAATAAACACGTACCTAATTTAGGAGATGCTGAAGCAGCATGTTCACGTAACCAACTAGCTAGCTACGACCTTCTGACTCTACTCACTAGCTAACATTAATGTTATACACAATTTTAAAATGATCATATCCCCTCCATTTTGGGGGGTTCAATCCAGAACACACTGCAGAACAGTGCAACCTGGTTCTTTATGAAGGAACCAAGCTTCATTAAGGGTGCTTTTCCACTGCACTCGGTACCATGCTTTTGTTATGGTACTTTTGGTACTTTCCCTTTTCCACTGACTTGCGGTCCAGTACCAGTACCAAAAGTTCCAGTATCTAAAATACTAAATTAGCTGGGGTATATTTTTGGTACTTTGGGTTGGGACTTGTAAAATGTTTCTTTGTTGATTGGTTATGCAAATAGCCAGCTTCCAAATCAGTATGACCACTGTCTTGTAAAAAATTATGAATTCAGAAAACAACGATAAACAAAGTAAAAAATAAGCAATAATGGTGGATGGACAAATGAAAAGCCATGATTTAGTTGTGATCTGGTCAGAAGAACAGATACAACAAGATCGGGATTGCATGACAAGAAATAAAGAAGTATATGATACTAGGGCAGTATGCTCCTGAAAGATTTTCAAATATTGTGATATGGTTTTGGTGTAATAAATATTCAGATATTTATAAAGAAAAAAAGGAGTTTGAAGTAAATTTCTCACAAACCCATCTAAAAATGATCATACTTTCTTAAAGTACCAAAAGTACAATACCTGGTGCAGTGGAAAAGCACCATAAGTAGTAACCTGGAAGCTTTACTAATTAATGCCAGCCAGGTTCTTGTTCACCCTGCCGCTCCATGCCCAGCAAACCATTAATGCACCGAAAATGCCACACTGCTTGTTTACAGACTGAGAACAGAGCAGAGCTTGTTGTCCTGAGAACTGGTGGTCATGTGTCTAGTGGAGAGGTGAAGTTGTAACTCCATGAACTCTGAGGAAAAGTGGTGCAGCTTATGTTTATTTTTGTGTTCTTTTTTTTTTTTTTTTTGCAGAAAATCATCGTCTAGAGTCAACGTATCAGAACCATTTAACTCTTAAAGTTTTGGTGGTAAGTGAGCACATGCCTGAACGTCCGTGCCCACAGCGACCTGTGACCTCGACCCTGGAGACAAGGGCCGCTGCTAATCTTCCTCCATCTTTGTTGCCCGCAGTTCAACTTCCTGAACTGTTTTGCCTCCTTGTTCTACATCGCGTTCGTGATGCAGGACATGCCTCTGCTCCGACAGGTAGGCCTGCAAGGCTGTGTTTACTGTACCAGCTGCCCAACTTCCATGGAGCTTAAGGCCATGTTTAGGTCTATGTCTTGTTTAGGAGATACTGAATTCACTGATGAGTTTTAAGCTGGAGCAATTAGAATGTATACTTCTATTGAATTTACAGTTGTATATTTTTAAGACAAGAATAACTCAAAAGAACAAGAAGTCCAGCAGCTCTGCACTGCTGTCTGCCATGTTCGGAGACGATTCAGTGCTTCAGTGCATGAGGTGTGTCCCGCTTCCTTACAGAGTCTCGCCACGCTCCTGATAACGTCCCAAATCCTGAACCAGTTCTTGGAGGCCTTCCTCCCCTTCTGGCTCCAGAAACGCCGCAACAAGCGGGTCCAGAGGAATGAGAGCCAAACCGCCCTGGGCTCCAAGCTCCCCTTTGAGAAACAGGTCATGCTGGAGGCGGACATGAGCACCTACCTGGTGAGGGCTTCCTGTTGGCCTCTGGATCCTGAAACTGTGGTCGCAATATGGTTGCATAAAATCTCTAAGAGGGACACCTTTATTCAGCAAAAACCTTTTCCACTCAAGATAAAGGGTCTTTTCCTAAGCAGCTAATCAAAAAGATAATAATACTGGTAGTCAAGGTTATGCAGTCTTTGTTTTTAAGGGTAAACATGAACATGAAGCTCAGGTGTTTTGCATGTATAGTACCAGTCAAATATCTGGACATTGCTACTGAAATGAATTTCTTTTTCAACAAGATAGCGACCCTAAGCAAACCTCGAGGTTATGTAATAAGTATTATCTTGTGAACAAGGAAAGCGATGGAGTGCTGTGACAGATGACCTAGTCCCTAAAATCCACCAACCGAAACCCTATAGCAGTGTTTCCCAACCCAGTCCTCGGGGAAGCCCAGGCAGTCCACGTTTTTGGTTCCTCTCAGCTCCCAGCGCACCTGTACCAGGTATTGGGTGTTCCTCATTGGCTGGGAGATGGGAGGGAGCAAAAACATGGACTGTCCGCGGTTCCCAGAGGACTGGGTTGGGAAACACTGTCCTATGGAGCTGGTTTAGGGTGAGTTGGAACGAAGAGTGAGAGCAAGGTAGCCAACTTGTGCCCAGACCTGGTTGGCGTATATCTGTGGAAAATGCACACCTCCCACACCAACCAAAGCTGGTTGAAAGAATGCCAGGAGTAATACTGTCATTTAAGCAAAATGGGGCAACTTTAAAGAGTCTATAATTTGAGAAAATTTTGAGACGTTGAACGCTTCTCTTGATTGTTACACTATTTGATGTGCATTGCTGCATTGTCTCAAGGCCTTTTACTATGCAATAAGATTGGTTAAAAGCAGGTGTGTCCAAACTTTTGACTGATACCGTAAGTAATATATCAGTGACCAGTTTGCTGTATGAAATGTAATCTGAGCTTACTGGCTGTTCTCGGTGAGCTCATGGGTGACAGTGTTTTATGTTTTCCTGCCTGCAGGGTACGTTCGATGACTACCTGGAGCTCTTCTTACTCTTTGGTTATGTCAGCCTCTTCTCCTGTGTCTATCCCATCGCCGCCCTGCTGGTGGTGCTCAACAACGTCACGGAGATCTACTCGGACGCCCTCAAGATATGCCAAGTGTTCAAGAGGCCCTTCTCTGAGCCCGCAGCCAACATCGGCGTGTGGCAGGTAAGGGACTTCACGCGGTCAGCGTCGGATTTCCCGGAGTAGTTTGTATCAGTCATGTTCTTGAAGTTATGCAATGTCCTTCCACAAGGGGTCAGCAGTCACTTTGCCGTCTCGATTTATAGATTTTTTTATGGAAAGTGGTTTACAAGGAGAATCAACTTCAGGTACCAAGTACATAATATAACAGGCCTATGTAGAGTTGTACATAATTCATGAAGAAAGGATAATGGGCACTTTTCCCTTGCTGTCCTGCTCTGTACACATCACTATAGATATGGGCTATTTGCTATGGGAGTCACAAATGATGATAGCCACTATCGTCTACAGCTGGCCTTTGAGTCGATGAGCATCATCGCCGTGGTAACCAACTGTGCGCTGATTGGCATGTCGCCGCAAGTGAAGTCATACTTCCCTGAGTCGGAGAGCCAGCTCATCCTGCTGGTGGTGGCGGTGGAGGTAAGCGATCTCATTGGACGAAAGATGTGAGGTGATACCGCGGCGAATGTGGGAAACACATTCCTCAGATGCCTTCTGTTTGGGACCAGATGACGTCCCACAGCCGACACACCTAAAGTCAGTGAGGGGGGACAGACGGTGACCTTTCTGGTTTCTGACTGGATGAATGAAAGCGGCTTCCCTGTTGCATTGCCCCTCACGCAGATGCTCTTCACTGTACGATGGCTGGGTGACGCACATTCAGTAGTCATCAGACGTTGAATTTTGATCTGTTCCCTGGCTATATGCTGTACGATACGTCATGCTGATTCCAGACGATAACAGCATCGCCCCAGTCATGCTTCCAGTCTCTGTAGCGATTGTGAGTGACCACCCCTCATATAGTGTTTACAACATATCGTACATGTTGTTTTTTTTTTTTTCCTGTTTAACCAAAATTACACAAGCCCATTATGCCCAAGTGTGTCATATCATATCTCATTCATATTCGGTTCACGATATGATGTATTTATGATGTATTTTTCCCTGTTACTCATTGGCTAGTTTCTGAAGGTTGACGGCAGTTATATATGATGGTCTGGGAATGTCCACGTTTGCACACAGCACTGATAAAGAGGCCTTCCGTGACTTAGCAAACTTGCCGGAACTTTCCACGGCACAGATGTATCTCCGACTCGAAGGTTTGTCATGACGGTATGAACGTAGGGACAGAGGTCAGTGCTGAATCACCCTGCCAGGGCTCTTTGCTGCCAGCTTGGTTCTGGCTTTAAAATACTTCCTGCAGATAAGAGTGAAGCTAACATTCTGTACTGCCGTTCACTCAGTCACGGAATAGGAGCCATTTAGCATCGTTTCTGCACTGACTTGTTGGGTTGAGGCAATTACTTTATGGAAGTGGGTTGAAGCTTCCCAGTGAGTCCCTGTTCTTAACTACTACGCCCTCTGCTGCTCACAGCAACTACTGCCATACATTAAAACCACAAGTCTGGTTTCAGAGTTTTGAAGCCCGGGAGCAGATTCGATCCCACTACACGGTTGTGGGTACTGGGGGGGGGGCTCCTTTTCTGGCTCCTGGGAATCATTTTTTGCATTTCCAGGTTGGTCATCTGTGTTTTTTTTTCTTTTTTTGTATATCTCAGCACTCAGCAGAGATTGGTGACAGCGGTACCAAACATACCCATCAGGGGGTACGGGGGCTCCACCTCGGTGACATGGCTGAACCAAAGCCTGCTTTAATTCTGCCCCGACTCAGGGGAGCAGGATTGGAGAGCGGCCATTTTTCCGCCTGAATTTGATTTCCCTAAACATGCTGGTTTACACAGTAAGGTGAAAGCAAACAAGCATTTCCTTTGGAGCACTGCTCCTAGCCACATACAGAGGGCGCCAGGGAGCCGTCCGATTGTCTGCAAATGTTTTATTTGACAGACACCAGGGTCTCTGTCCATTTTCTGGCTCCAGAGCAACCTTCAGGCTGAACACAGTCCTGTGGAAAATGCACACCTCCCCAAGGAGATCGACCAGTGTTTGAAACATGTTGTCATTTGGTGAATCTTTTTGACTCTGTCTTTCAATGTGACATTTAGTCTTAATTCGCACCGTAAGCATAACCGATCACACGCCATTCTAGCACCCAGGGCTGAATATTTGGGGCCCAACCTACAGGACAAAATGCTGCAGTAACCAGCAAAAACAAAATTTTGGGACCTTTAGAACTCGGGGCTCGTGTGTAAGTCTGGCCTTGATGGCATACAGAGGCTGCGGCTTCTTTTGTCCTCATAAATGACTGGCTGCTGTTTCTGTTGTCTGCTGTACGCATTGGAGACTTGTGACCCTAAACTTATTGGTTCAACTTTCCTTCTCTCTTCTCTCATCTGGAGGACCTTCTGCTGTAGTCTCTGGTTCTGCTCTGGTTCTGCCCTGTACAGGTACACATGCTGGGCCTTGATCCTGCGGCTGAGTTGTTACCTAGGAGACGACCGTAAACCGTTAAAGACACAAAAAAAAGACTCAGTCCAAGCTATAAGACAGATTTTATACACGCGTGTTGATGATTCTCCCTCCTCACCCCAGGAGACTCACTTGTTTTCTTGAAGCTACTTGAAGGCTCAGTACCCCATACAACAAGAGCGCCCCCTGCTGGGTGGGTGAGACATAAACACCAGACGCACCATAGCGCTTGACAAGCCTCCTGTCAGCAGCCCGGAGCACGGGAAGGGGATCAGTAGATCTCTGAGGGCACCTTGGCTGGGTGTCTGGGAGCGTCTGGGAGCGTACCAGGATGTTTGGGAGGGGGTCAGGTACTTAAGTGAAGTCTCAGACTGGCCCCCCGAGGTGAACAAAGCCAGGAGAAGGAGGAATATCAGGCAGCCTCTGGGTAAGGACTAGCCCTACCTTTACTTAAAGCTTTTCATGCGTGTGTCTACAGTCCTGCAGCTATAGTCCATGGCCTCTCTGCTAATTACACTAACGAGAGTCTGGCCGCATTCGGTGGGCAGTACGGCACACTGAGCCAGAACAATACGGGGTCTGTTTCTGTTCCGTCCTGCTGAAAACATCGACGGGGACGCGACCGCGGAGCGGCTGGGTGGAATGGGGTCGTGGGAACAGAGATAATGATGCAGCGTGTTTTAATTAAAAATAATTTGAAATATTTAATTAAAAGATTACAGGGTCATGCCAAGTGATTTATTAATTTTACCGTTTTAACCCTGATAAAACACAGTAGTGTTTTTTTTATTTATTTTATTAATTAATTATGTAATTTTCCAAGAAATATTTTCTGGAAGCACTGCAGAATTAAAGGTAGGGACGTTCTCGCTTTTATACGCCGTAGTGTGATGAGAGTGATCCACGGCTGGAATCTGCCGAGTTTATTTCATATCCGGGCCGAAAATGCCATCGCTGTCATCCTGTCTCGGCAGCTCACTTTCAGTGCTCAGGTAATTACATCAGGGCAGGCTTCAGAGAGCCGTATCCAGGCAACAGTGTAGCCACGGCGACCAGTAAGCCTCGGAAGAAAGCATGATAGTGGCAGGTTTGGAGCAGTGGTGTTGATATAGGAGTATGTGCTGTTTAAAATACCTGGAACGGAGAATGGAGGAGATGGATCCTGACCGGGATACTACTGATTATCATTTATTTTTGTTACACTGGTCTTAGCTTTGAGAAAGAGGGATAATGGAAGAAAGAGAGTACAGTGGCACGAGAGTACCTGTAGCAGTGGTATGAGGAACACAAGAGTATCTGTAATGACAGTAGGAGGTATACGAGTGATGGTAGCAGGTACACGAGAGCACCTGTTGCGATGGCAGGAGGTACGTGAGAGTACCTGTAGCGACGGCGGGAGTACGAATGTCAAGAAATCCTCTCTAGTGAGAGAGTATGATGGCCATCTTGGTTCAAGCGATCCGCTTCGGTCTGCTTATCTTGCCGCAGGGTGGTTGAATGACCACGTTGTCTCCTGTTATCGGTGGCCATCAGGCATGGGGCCGCATAGTAAAATTAGGGGTTTGAACCCCCCCCACAAATTTGTTTGCTCCTGACCAAACACATAGTCACAGAGTATGATAATGAGTTTGAACCTCCCTGGAATTCCATGTGCCGGAACCTCCTCAGAATTCATTTCCGGCTACCGACCTGGTGCCTGTCCATTCATATGACAACAAGGAGCCATCTCATCTGATCCTGTACATACAGTGCATAGTATTCAAAACGATACAGATGTACACCAGCAGGGGGCAGTCATGATGCCCATGAATACTGCACTGAGCAGATCCGTTTTGTCTGAGGTGTCTTTTAATGGCTTATATTTTACTCTCTATGCATTCATACGGTTGGATGTGCTTCTCACATCCAACCGTTACACACCTCACGTCGTTACACACCTCACGTCGTTACACACCTCGCGTCGTTACACACCTCGCGTCGTTACACACCTCGCGTCGTTACACACCTCACTTGTGGACACCATGGGGCTGCACTCGGGTCTTGAACTGGCAGCCTTTGAGAAACAGTCAGGTTTCTGTAACTGCTACGCACCCTGCTGGCCATGGGAATGTCTGCAGTCTAAAATCATGGGCTTTCTCCCAGAAAATGCTTATCAGAATCTTATTAGTCGAAAGAAGGGAAGTTGAGCATCAACGACAGGCAGCATCAACGACATGCGTCGACTGCAAGGTGCCATCCGATGATGTGGCTCATGGCTTCTCCCTGCGTTCTCCTCACTTGGGGTTTGGTGTCAGTTGGCAGTCAGGGGGGCAGTGTTGTCCAATCACACACACACACACTCACACGTTTTTATTCACATCATTGTGGGGACTGTCCATTCATTTTTGCGGGCATAACCATAATCCCAACAATAACAACCTTAACCCCTACCCACCCCTAACTGTAACCAAGAGTAACCAAACAAAATACAAGACTTCTGGCATTTTAAACCACTGTTTTTTTTGCAGTCACAGATTCTTGTATAATTGAGCTTTCCCTTGTGGTTCCCACAACATCTAAATAACGTGTTTTATCATATTGTGGGAACAGTTAGTCCCCCAAAACGTTATATATACCTAACACACAGACTCTCTCTCTCACACACACACACACACACACATGTTGGTCTTCTTATCTAAATGGGGACCATCCATTCATTTCTATGGGAAAATATTCCCTTAACCCCTACCCATCCCTAACCTTAACCATAAGTAACCAACCCAAATACAAGACTTTTGGCATTTTTACTTTTTTGATTGCATTCACAGATTTTTATAAAACTGAGGTTATCCAAATGGGGACCTCAAAAGATGTCCCCAAAAGTATGGAAATTTCAGGTTTTACTACACTTTGGGGACAATTTGGTCCTCAAATGTGATCTATGCAAACACACACACACACACGCACTTCTCAATTAGCCGTGGGTTTTATCTGCATTTGCACAGTTGCCGTAGTGGCAGTAATCTCCCGAGTGACAGATACGTGGTTACAGTATGTCGCTGTGTGTCCCCTCGCCGACAAAAGGGAGATTAGTGTCAGGCCGTTTCCGAAAGTCATCCAGCTGCCTTTGTTTGAGAAACCATGTGCTCTCAGATTCGTTACGTTTTTTTTCTTTGTCAGTTTTCTCATGTCGCTTAATTTCCGCTCGGAGAAGGACGCCCCGATTCACAGACTGTCTGACCGGTGAGCAGTTTGCCAGGGGATGCAGTACCAGCTGATCAGAAGTGATTAGGGGTTTGGGAAATAAAGCAGTAAACAGTGAAGAGCGCTCTGGGCAAATAGCGAAGCTGTAACAATTAACGCAAGTATTACTGTGTTAATTAAACTGCCTTTCTGACCCTGTTTCTCTTTTAAATGAAAAATATAAATATAGGAATAGGAATCGTGGAGGTCAGGAGTGTCATTTACAGACTTCCTTGTTAGAATAACAGAATTTTAGTACCTAAGACGTTGGTTGCCAGCCAATCAGTCAGCAAGACATTTCGAGTTGATTGTGATGCAACTTCCTTTTCCCCCAGAAATATACCGAGCCCCCCCGCCTCCAAATAAAATCGAAGCATAGCAATTTTGAAGCTCACCGCAGTATTTTGACTTAAGACTGTCTTAGACTCATCCATCCATCCATCCATCCATCCATACACCGATGGCAGCAGGGGGCACATGGCTGGGTTGCACCCAGGACAGGATGCCTGTCCTCTTAGATCATATTTGGTGCAAATGATTTTTTAATGACCTGACAAGCTGATTTTCTGGCAGTGTTTCTCTCCTCCTCTGCCAGTATGAAATTCCCAGATTGAGCATTTTCAGGAAAAATGAGTCACCCAGGTGGGTGACAATGCAAGCAGTTTCTCCTGCCGCGCGATTACTGCTGTCACGCCGGTGATAACAACTGTGGACGTGCACAGGAAGCACACGGGACAGGCAGCATTCTCCATCACGGACTGTGGGGGGGGGGGGGGGTTTGCTTCCACCAGACCGTTTTATCTGGAGCGTGAGGAGAATCCGAGAGGTGTTTCACAGCCTGGGCATCGCCGGATCGGAGTTGAGCACGGGCCCTTTGCTGATCAGTAACAGAGGTTGCATGTAATCTCTGTTCTGTTTTCATTTGGGGTCGCTAGTTCAAAGAGATTGAAAACTCCTGCTGTAGAATATCAGCTTAGCCATTGTCCTGGTGGAATACCCACAATGCACCACAGCTCCCAGAGCACTGACAGGATGCAGAACTTCTGTTCAAATATGTAATTACTTCTAAATCTGAACTTGGCATGGTTTTGCCCTTGGTTGTCTTTCAGCTGCGAGTTTCAGAGAGTAAACAATATGAAAATGAGAGTTTTCTTCCCTGTCGCGGCGATTAGTCATGCTCTCTGGGATGCCGGCTCGATCGGAGTGCTGTCCCGGGATGCAGTCCTCCCCTTCTGGCTGCAGTGCCGGGCCTGAGCCGCCAGACAGAGGCAGCCGCCTGGTCTGTGTTAGATGGGTCGCTTCTCCGCCCTGGAGGGAAGGTGACGCTCTGGCCGCACCCTGAACCTCAAACCAGACTCCTCGGGCTTCCTTCTCCAGAATCGTCCCGTTTTTCCTGGAATGCCGTACGCAAAGTTACATTTAGTGCCACGTTTCAGATGTTTCTTCCCATTGATGCGGCTGAATATTTGTCGGAACAGTTCAGGGTTCGTGCCCTGCTCAAAGGTACAACAGATGGACTCCCCTGGGACTTTGGCCTTCTGGTTCAAGCCTGTGTGTATTTAGCCAGTACCATACAAGCTGCCCCGCACTGAACATAGTATATGAAAGTATAAAGGGTCACTTTGCCAGCAACTGCCCTGAGTCCAACCCCCCCACCGCCTGGGCTCCCAAGTCATGTCATCGTGGTTCATTAAACAATCACAGGACAAGAGTGTCGTCTTAAGGAGAGGGTAAGATGCTGCTTTTTTGTCTTTGCTGCTGTGCAACAGAGTTGGCACCCTGCTTGGTCAAAGCGTGACTGTCTATGAGGCGGGAACATCTGAACCTCGATTCGCTTCCTTTTAGGAAAAAATTGCAGCTCTTTCGAGGTACTCGACTCGCCAAAGAGAGAAAAGTCCGCCTCAGAGAGAGCAAGCCGAATGCCCTCTGACTGAACGCTTAGTCCAGGGTGTAACACGCATCTCAGAGGTCTGCCAGAAGATAACGAGGCCCAGCAGCGGAGTGGAACGGAGGCTATGATTACTGTGTTTACGGGGTCTGAGGTTGCTTCAGCAGACAGCTGGACTCTGAGAGATGTCCTCAGACCTCCAGGCGGTCACGGAGCAAGCTGTCCTTGATGCCATAATTGTGTGGAGTTTTGGCTGAGATTCTCTCTCTTTCTCTCTGTTTTGGTCACAGCACGTATTCCTGGTGTTGAAGTTCATCCTGGCGTTTGTGATCCCTGATATTCCCAAACACATCCAGATCAAACTGGCTCGTGTGGAGTTCGAGTCCATGGAGGCCCTGAAGAAAAAGGTAAACGAGGGAAACTCCTCGTCCTTCTGGAAAAGTCTGAAACTGCATATAACTGTGCCTGGGCAGGAGAGATGGTGCTGACAGAGCAGCAAGTGTGTTCCCTTTATAAAAACACCACACTGCACGGTCCCTTTATAAACATGCCACACTGCACGGTCCCTTTATAAACACGCCACACTGCACCGCCCCTTTTTATATACAGGCCACACTGCATGGTCCCTGTATAAACATGCCACACTGCACGGTCCCTTCATAAACACGCCACACTGCACCGGCCCTTTTTATATACAGGCCACACTGCACCGCCCCTTTTTATATACAGGCCACACTGCATGGTCCCTGTATAAACATGCCACACTGCACGGTCCCTTCATAAACACGCC